TTACTTTGTTGGTCTTGTTTTTTTGATCCTCCTCCTTTCCTGTGGTCTGTGTGTCGCACAGACTGGTATCGTAGGGTCGCCACCATTTCTTTACTATCTAAGATTTCCACATATAGCATATATGTATATGTGTTTTTGCTCATTACTGCAAAAAACTAAGATGTGTGTGGTGGGTTCAAATACAACCAGTACTCTGAGCCTTCGCTTATAAGAGTATTGCTGTCTCAGAGAAATCTTCGTAGGTACTAAGAGAGCGTGCGCAGACGGCGGCCTAGCCCCGTCAAGAAAATGTGAAAAAATGTATGAATGCACCAAATAAAATACTGTGCTTGTCCATTATATATCCCTGTAAGGCATATATAATGTAAGGGATAATGTAAAGGAAGTTGTCATCTGTGATTACGCTAACCCTGTGTGACTATATAACTGAAACATTTTAAAAACTATTTACATTTTCCCAGAAAAGGGTCAAGGTTAGGGTTTGGAGCCAGGTTTGAGGTTGTTGGTGATGCAGAAGTCTTAAGAGGGTTAGGAGACAGTATTCTCTATTTAAGAACTCTGCCAGCAGGTGCAATCTTCCAGCCCACTAACAAATATTTGAATATATGGATTTTAATGTACAGTGCAACCTGTTCTCACTCCCGAGTCTTAGCCCCGAGGTTTATGTCAACATCTTTGACAGCCCCGTCCCCCTTAGTGAATCAGAATATGTCCCTTTTTGCTTTTATTCAATTGCTCTCCAAGTCTCTGGTAATTAAGGAACATATTAAACAATCACACTATCTAAAAGAAAAGAAAAATATTCCCAAAAACTTAGTTTTGCCTTCGCAAAAATATTGTTTAGGGTTGGCACTCATCATGGTTTAGACCTCAGCACAATGATGTGGTCAGGATCCATCCCTGACACAATATAGTCTGCTGTACATGTTTTTAGCATCATTTCTCAGTGCACAGTATTGTATTGCTCTACAATACAATCCTGTAATCACTTTTATTTACTGAGTAGCGTTAGTGTATAGACATCATGCCCGGGCCCAACAACACATCCAGGGAAAAGGTGCAGAACAAAAGTAAAAGCCTGCTGCACTCAAAATCCTTCATTTGAAGGTTTTGAGATGGAGTCATCACCACTTCATCTGCATCTGGTGACTTTTGCAGTGGCAACGTACAAACATTTTGACTTAAAGAGACAAACTCTGGAAAAAGTTGAAGTAGAAGATTAACTTGCATTGAGAAAGTGCAGGTTGTAAAAGAGTAAAAGTAAAAAGCACGTTGTTGGAGGGCATTTCTATCAGATCATTTTTGCAAAGGAAACTGTACAACATATCATATTAATATATAACAAAATAAATCACTTTGTACAGCGGAGTACAAACTTTATTTCAAGTTAAATTCAAATTCTTCTGAATGTGCTCAATTTGAACATCTATTTAGTAGAAGAAAAGCAGGAAACAGGGAATTAAAACATCCAGCTGTATTTGCTGTTTCTTACATTGTAAATGGTTGTCTTTACCTCCTCACCTTAACAGAAAAAGTTAAGTCCAGTTGAGTCCCGTCAGGTCCATTAAAAATAGGTTAAGATTTATGTGTATAGACTGGGATAAGAAGTTGTGCTCTCTTATCTGAGATTCACTGCTCTTTATGGATTTAGCCAAGAGAATTTAACAAGATATACACAGATGTTGTTGCATCTGTGATGGTTGATTTTCAACCTTTAGACAATATAAACACAGTATAAAGCTCAATGAGTTCTGCAGATCGACAACAGCTTAAATTCAGCTTGATTTGATTAACATGAAACTGCCTAATATTTTCATATACTTCTTGTTTTTTTACAATTTGTTTTGGAAGATATTTTAAAAAGAAAAAAGAAAAAACATATCAGCACCAAATCATCTGGCTCTGTTAAACTCTAACAAAGGACATCACATGTAGGCTTTAAATGTCCAGTTTATCAAATGTCATGGAGCAGTCCTTACATTCAAAAATGATTCCTGCATTCCTACATGACATCTTTCTTCATCATAAAATGATCAAATATTTTATTTCTCTCTCTGGGAAATACAGCAGCTGCACCTTCACCTCACTAAACATCTGCACCAAAAATGCAGGATGAATATCAGGAGTTATTTTGGTGCCAAGCAGCACAATTCACATGTAATCAGTGGGAAATTGATTACTTTTCCAGGAAGCGAACATTTAAGGTATTCATGATTAGTGACCCTGGTTTCACAAAGATCTTTTGTAACTGCAGAAAATGTCAAACTCCTGATATGAATCTGTTACCCAGAATTTTCCCTCCTTAACAATCACTAAAGTTTTTTAATAGATAAAAGCATGATTGAGAAACCTAATCAAACTACTCATCTCCCTTTACCCTGACATTAGATGTAGATCAGGAGGGAGGTATAATGAACAAAGGTCTGACGCAGGACCGCAAACATATCCAATTCCAGGAAAAGCAAAAAGACTGGAAAAAGCACGTGGATGTGTTTGTAGAGGCAGAACTGTGCATCTGCAAACTGGAGGTTGGATGGTTCAGTCTGCAAGATACTGAGCTTTTAATTTACAGTGTGAGAGAGTGTGGGCAAAACAGAAAAGTATTTGAAATGAATGTTTTATAAATGTGGCTCATGGTCATTACAGCTAGAAAAGTGCTTTGTAAATACTAGTCTATTTGTCATATACAGTGAAAACACCAAGGCTGGAGACACAGGAAGAGACAGAACAAAGGAGCAGGAAAGACGCAAGGTGGCAGAGAAACAAAGACTGAAAGCAAAAACAACAAAGACGCACACAGAAAATAGCAGCAATCTAAAAGTCATGACACACTCCAGCAGCACTCTATTGTCTAGGAAGATTTATTTTATGTTATCTTGTTTTATTCTTCAAAAAAAAACCCTAGAAAATCTGATATTTTGAGCCATGATATCTTATGTTCAGCATTTTGCTATTAATGACAGCAGATTTCACTCTTTGATAAGGTTGAATATTTTTATTTAGTCTCTGGTTAAGGTGGGTAACATTTTAGGTTTAAATTAAAGCCCATACAGTGTCTTTCAGTGAATGCAGTGTAAAAACTGCATTCAGATCCCTCTAACATGAGAACACTTTCAGTTAAAACTTCTGCAGCTTTCAGAAAGGAGGTCTTTTCTGAAAAGGAGAAGAACATGATGGTAAAGTACAGACTGTGCCCGATCCTACACAACAGCTCACTGCTGCAAATCACTCTTAGCATTCCCAACATGTTAACACAAAGCTGGCCACAAAACCTTGAGGAGAAAAATCTAGACTTGTATGTGGAGATCTGGGGAAGGAATTAATATTTTGAAATTTTCACTCACAGAAATGATTCATACACACATTTCCTGTAAGTGAAGTTAGATGAATTATTCACAAATATGCACACAGAGCTAAAAACAACATTTTTAATTTTAATTTCAGCTAGTTTCTTGATCCTTTCCCAGTAAAGGTAAAGGCAGTAGTACGACAATGGTCATTTCCAGAATTTTCCACAACATTCCAAGGAATTCTAAAGCAGGCAGGCACCGGAGCAGTCAGCATGACAAAGTCTGTGCACCTGAGTTCTAAATGGGCTCTGAGGGAAGAGTGTCATTGCTGGACTCGGTGATGTTGCCACTACAAACCACCTCCCCCTTCCAAACTGGTCAATACAAGGGAAACACTGAAGGTGGTGAATAACCTTTAAAATCCAGCTTCAAGGTAAGACAACACACGCTGCTTAGCTGCTTAGTCACTATTGCAACTGATACTTTTGATAACAGTGGGACTGCAGACTAATGAGATTAGCATGAATAATGTTAGCCTTGTGATGACTCAGAGAAACATCATTAGAAACAGGTGTGCACACACTCGTTCATAATCTTGATAGGTTTTTGTAGCTGATTAAATATTATTAAATGGAAAGGTTTGAGGCAGCACGGTGGTTAGCACTGTTGCCGCACAGCAAGAAGGTCCTGAGTTCAATTCCA